GCGGACAACCGCCAATCAACACAGCAGCAGAGCGGACAACCGCCAACAAGATAAACAAACTCCTACGACTGGAATGGAAAGAGAACGATTCGAATTATTGAGTCATTCATTCTGCTAGCTGGTTACTAAGCACTCACACTTATTTTTCATGGGTGGTCTTAGCTTTCCGGTTGGCGGCCCATGAACACAAGCTCTTGAAGCCAGCGTTGACCTTGACTGGGCTCATGCAAACGGTAATTACCGGCCAGAAGCAAGCATCGAAACAAGCAACTGGGCACAGAGCCAAAGGAAATCTCTAATTATGCAAGCTAGCAAAGCCTTTCATGCCAAAGCCCTCTTCTCCGTATTGATTTGCTTCACGATGGTCGTGCCTTCCTTGATCTTGGCACTGATGTCCTTCTCCGATTCAAAGCCCACGTCATCCCAGCCGTAGGCCTTCGAGGTAGCGGCCATTTTCAGGATCTGCTGAGCTTGTGAAAGCCAAGTCTCGATGGTGTCCTTGACCTCACCAAAGGTGGTCTTGGTTTCGTCTTTGATATCGTACTTTTCAAAGATCTTCTCAGTTTTCTTGTACTTCTCAATCTGGGGCGGAGCCAGCAACATGAGCTTGTGCGACATGGACAAGATCTTCTTCTGGTCAGCCACCTGCTTCTTCTTCGCTGCGGCTGCCTCTTTTCGCTCAGCTTTCCTGTCTGCTGCCAGTTGTTTGTTGCGCAATTTATGGTCCATGTCCTGTCAGGAAGTTATTGGTCAGATGAACTGACCAAAAAAAGGTGTCAGCAACGTTGTAAAAATATAAACAACTAAGGTAGCCACTCACTAAGTCTCAAAAAAAAATGAGACTGACAAAACCAGTCCTCATCCTCAGAGTCAGAGCGCAAATCCGTGAGGTTCACAAGATCTCGCTTTAGCTGCTGCTGCTTCTCAGTCAGCGGGACAGGAGCTTCCACAGTCTGTGGCTCACCTTTCTTGGCCTTCTTCTTGGGGGCGGGAGTCTCTCTTGGACAACGTTTTCGTTTGCAGTCCCTTTCGCTCCGCATGACGCTCTCCTCGACATGCTTCATGATGACCGCGTCAGTCTTTTTCTGGACTGGCACACTGGAGACTGCGCCCACTACAGGACATTGGCGGTACTCTCCATGGGCTTCGATGTCATCTGTGCAATACCCCATGCGCTCCCAATAGCTAAGGGGCCGAAATTCTTCTTCGACGACAGATGCCTTTTGCCGCTCAACTACGCTGCTAATTGCCTTGGATAGTACAGCCCGGATGGCCTTGTACCGTAACACGCTGTCGTCGGACTGCTTGAGAGCGACACAATGCCGCCAGAAGCCGGCCTGCTCTGAAGGGTCCATGATGTCCCACTCTGACGGAAAGTCGCCCAGGTTGCGGCGCAGAGTTTCGGTGACCGCATGGCAGCTTTTGCAAGTCACTGTTTTTTGACCTTTGCACTTCTGGGCAGCAAGAGTCTCTGCAGTGACTTCGTTGAGGCATTTGCTGCACTTCAAGCCCTCCACCAGATCTTCCACCTGTGTAGCTGGCATCTGACTGTCACTCAGAGGTTCGACAGGATGCGACATCTGAGAGGGATGGGAAAGCTGCTCTTCCTCCTGCACCAATTGAGTCTCAGCCATGTCTGCCATCAGTATAAATTTGAAGCAGCAATGGAAAACTTTGAGAGTGCTTGAGCTCTGGAGCAAGGATGAAAAGGACATGATGCAAAGAAAACTTCGCGCATCCACTTCATGTTCCTGACACGAACTGACAGATACAGACGCATCCTGACACATAGTGTGTCAGCATGTGGCAGGATGTGTCATCATGTCAGCATACAAGCGGGCACACACGGACACATCCTGACACATAGTGTGTCAGCATGTGGCGGGATGTGTCATCATGTCAGCATACAAGCAGGCACACACGGACACATCCTGACACGTAGTGTGTCAGCATGTGGCAGGATGTGGCAACATGTGGCAGCAGTGTCAACATACAACGCCGCGTCCCATAGGTTTGCTTTCGTTACAATAGATGTTTGGTTTGGTTGGCGTTTGCAACTGCAGAGAGGCGATGAGAGTCTAAGCTCTCAAGCTTGCACTCCACTTCGACGCAACCCTATAGGTAGTGATGTATAAGTACTTTTGAGGTATAGTGTAGTTGTAGTTATAGTGATCTTGTGTTTGTTTCGGAGCTGTGGTCAGCCTTTTGTTTGTCCCTGCACGCAAATAATATATAGAGCGCGGTTGTCCGCAGATACTAAACAATGATATTATAGAGCGCGGTTGTCCGCAGATACTAAACAATGATATTATAGAGTGCGGTTGTCCACAGCTACTAAACAACGGAGATCTTATAGAGTGCGGTTGTCCGCAGATACAAAATAATGCAGTTATTCGCTGACCTTGTATATAGATTGCGATTGTCCGCGCAATATGGTTTAGACAAAAATATTGGCTTGGAGCTGCTTTACTTTGTGAAGTTTGGTGAGGGGCTTTGCCATTGCTTAAGTTGTTTTTCTTTTTGCGCTTTTGTGTGTGTACTGACAATGTGTGTGTGTGCGTGCGCACTGAGTCACTTCATGGTTCTTTTATAAAGCTTCTGACAAAGCCAAGGCGGACAACCGCCTCAAGTTTCTGGAAACATGTTACGCAGCAAGCAATGAATAACGCAAAGCCAAGGCGGACAACCGCCTCAAGTTTCTGGAAACATGTTACACAGCAAGCAATGAATAACACGAACAAAAAAACACAGTGCTCATCGACCGTTGTTTTCCCATCCAGCTGTGTCCTGCGATGGAGCTGGGCCCTGTACCTACTTCGAATGTAGGGGCTATCAAAACCGCAAAAACTGCTCAAATGTGAAGTCCTATCCTCTCTCACTTAGCATTCTTGTTCTTTTTTTGACTACGATCTTGGGCATTGGTGCCATCTTCGGTGAATCCTTCTTGCTCTTTGGTACTTTTTTTCGTCTTGGGAAACACCATGTCTTCGATGAACAGCGTCCACTGCCCCTCACCAAGCACGTTGTCTTCCAGGATGAACTGCGCATATGACTGGCACATGTCAGGGAAACACTTGTCGTGCAGGTCCAATGCTGCAGCCAAGCAGTCGGCCACTGTCTTCTCTTGGAACTTCAAGACGCCATAATACTGCCCATCCAGAGCCCCCAAGATCTCCGCTTTCGTCTGGTCCAAGGGGACTATGGGCAGCACTCGTTTGCAATCAGGGTTGGGTGTTTTCACAACCAGTCCAAGGCCAAGGCTCTTGTTGCAGAAGAGCTGATAGAAATTCGCACCTTCATCTTCCTTTTCTCCTTCCTGAGTATGTTGGGCATCGCAAAGCTTGGTGAATTTGGTGTAGCTGCCAGTGAAGCAGGTTGTTGACAAATAAAGCCTCAGTTGACTCAAATGCAGCGAGCTCCAAAACAAATAGTCGCCCAAACACGATACATATAAACAACAAATATGCAAACATATGCTCCCAGGAACATCGATCCGCCAAGCCTAGTCCTCTGGATCTGCTTCTTGGGCAAGAGGTGACGCCACGTCAAAAAACCATCAGCCAGAAGGTATCTGATATGCATGTTTTCCACAAGGTCACTACTGGAAGTGAGAGCGTGGGAGAACAGTTCGGTCGCCATGCCACCGGGACGAAAGGTTGACAGCAGTTATTTTTCGACAGATTGAAAA